GCCCATTCTGTTGGGCTCGGAGTGACCTGGGCTTGCAGAGGACCCCTTTCCATGCTATACCTTGTGCATATGCGGGGATCTTCCTTTCCCAAGTGGGGTGCCGAGGCTTGAGCCAACAGAAGGTGATCAGCTGGCGTAGAGTGATTAATCTGCGTCCTTGCGAGCTGCAGTGTATGCTCCCTGCCTGTACGGCGTCACTCGTGTGCTCCCTGCCTGTACGGCGTCACTCATGCCTGGAGGTGGGAGGAGAAGGTGTTGGGCTTTGCAGCGAGGCGTGTGGCACCAGCAGCCTTGAAGAGAAGCACTTTGCTTGCTCAGATCTCTGCCCCTTATGTTGTGCATTAAGCAGTGGAGCAGGTTGGTGGCAGTGCCACAGCCCTGGAGCTGAGGGTCCGGCTTCCAGCACTGCAAGGCGTCACAGTTGTGCCCCCCTCCCCCCTTCCTATTCTTACGGCGCTGGAAAACCCGCAAGCGCACACTTGTCCTGAAGTTTGTCAGAAGGGAGGCCTTGTTCTTGCCGGCCGTGTGGGAAGGGCTGTTCCTGGGTGGTGGGCATTGGGCACTTGTCCATGTCCATGTGTTCTGCTGCACGCTTGGTGGGATGCTGGGTAAATCCCCTTGCTTGTAAAAGGTGATGTACATAATAGGAAATCGCAGTTCTCAGAGACTTCTGCCTAGCTGTTGGGATTTGTTGTCTGGAGCATGAGGAGTACTGAAGGCAACATCCCTCTGACTTTAGAGAAAAGAGCCAGAACTCGTTGCTGCCGAGCCCTGTGCTCTCCCTGCCAACCCCCGAGATGCAATCTTCAGCTTATGACTGGTTGGAAAGGAGTTTGATCTCTTCTTCAAGCTGTGTTTGCCTGGTTGATTAGTACCACAGCCATACCTAGCTTCATCACTTGGCTTTTCTGTGCTCTTTTCTGGTGTCTTGTGGTTGTCCATCTTCAGTGTGTTGGGAGATACTGGGAAATGTTTTGGGGGCTGTGGTGAGCCAGTCCTGAGGGCAGATGGGAGCCAAGGGGAGGTGCACTGCGAACATGAGGGCTGCTGCAGGTGTTAGTGGAGAATTCAAAGCTGCTTTAGGGTAAAATAAATCCTTTCCTGAATCGTAACCCTTCAACGACTCTTGCAAGCTCTGTCAAGTCACGATCACAGAGCCTTCAACACAAAGCCCCATACTCCATAACAAGCTGGGATTTATGCTACTGCTTCTTCCCATGGAGGGACAGCACTTAGAAGGTTAATCTGCCAGCATCTACTTGTCTCTCCATAATCAGGCGAAACATGTTTATGGAGCTGCATGTCATTAGTACACAATGGTTCTTAAATGACTGAGATTTAATTAAAACCCTAATGGCAGAGCATCCGAAGTAAGAGAGAGACAACCAGACCCACTGGTGAATGACCCACCTATCACTCAGCTTGGATTAGGAGAGCAGGAGCTTGGGGCTGGTCAGAAACAGTAGAAGCACAGTGATTAAATTGGATATACTGGCTGGGGTTCAGCGCTCCTATTACTGTCAAGCATGCACGTGTCGGGGGGTGTGAGCTGAGCGTAGGCGTGAGCTTCCTGCACTGGCCTTTGAGCTGGAAAAAACTCGCTCTTTGGACTTGCCGCAGTGGGGGATGAGTTTTGTTCTTTGTTGTATTCTGCTTTTTTTGTATCGGTTTCATCAAGCAGGTGTCCATGCCTTGAAATTATTTCCAGCAAATGTAAATCCCAGCGTTCATTTTGAGCTGGGTGCAACAGTCCTGTGATATAAAGTGGTTTATTTCACTTTTGTCCAGTTTTGCCTGCCTTTTTGATAACATCAGACCAGTGGCGTCCAAACAAAATTTCACTTTGGTTTCGATTTGCTTTTCTTGCGAGTGCATTTGCCAGATCTTTTAAACAAAGCTTCGTAAATCACCATTGATGTCATTGTGGACATGTTTTCCATGTTCTACTTTGGATGCCAGAAGTGCTTCGTCCCCAGGGACAGCCTTGTGGATGGGTTTCCCTCTGGATGTGCTGGGGAAAGAGCTCCCTCTAACAGTGGGACAGCCATCAGTCAAAAGCAGCAGAAGCAGAGACTGCAGGATGCTTTGGGAGTGATCAGGCTTGCCAGTCATTTTGATTGCCAGCTCTGAAGATGGTTATTGCCCTTTTAGCTTTGTTAATGTCCCTTATTTTGTAGCTGTGGATTCACTTAATGGTTGCGTCCTTGCCATCAGATAAGAAGGGACTTGAATATCTGTTGCTATGCTGGCCCCAGGGAGATGATTATGAACCTCAGGCTTGTGACTGTGCTGTCAGTGACATTTTGAGGTGGGAAAAGCATTAGGTAGTAAAATATCTGGAGAAAAAGCAGGGAATTAGCAAGTAAACAACAGAAGATGGGTATAGATCAGCAAGGTCTGTCAGCAGTGTTGAATTTGAAGAGTTCCTTGCATTGCTGTTAATGTACGTCCTCTGCCAGACTTATTGCTATTACCTTGTGCAAAATCTGTACCTCAGAGCAAACTTCATTTTTCACCTAGAGGCTAACGACTTTTCATGTGTTTCAGAAATTTGCATTTGTTTTAATGAAATCTTACCCTTTCCCCCCAAAGCAGCAATTAAAAAATAAAGCTTCTGGGAAGCTTTCTTCAAATACCCAACAGCTCATGCGAAGTGTCCAAAGCAGCCCTGGTGTATTTTAGATGTGGGAGGCCCCTGAACGCATTGGGCTTCTCGTCCCAGATTGATAATTTCTTGAGGCAAGACCTCATCTCTCCCACAGAGAGATCTCTCTTACAGTCGTAAGTCAGGACCCAAAAATCGCTGATGACCTATGGGCTCCCCCAGGCTGCAGTGTGCAGAGGTTGTACTCGGATGTTGCAAAGCACAAGATAAAAATGTAGACTGTTCCAGCACAACCATAGGAAAATTATATCTGTGGTAGCAGTCTCCTTTGGAAGGAAGTTGGGTAAAACTGTATGCTGGTGCTCTCTGCTGGATAAAACCAAGAAGGCTTTTTTCTCGCTGGCACTGTGGCGGCTGCCAGTTCATGCCAGTGTTGGGCTCTTGGCTGCAAGGTCTCCTGCAGCTCTGCCCGCATTGGAACACCCTGATGGTGCGGGTTGCCTCTGTCTTGAACTGGCCAGGGCTAGCTGGAGCAAGAGATGTGTTAGGATTACTGGTCTGACTTTCCTTTCCTCCTGTCTCCTTCCCTTACAGTGTGTTACTTGCTGAAGAGCAACATCAGCCCAGACCTGTGCAATGAAGATGGATTAACTGCACTGCATCAGGTGAGGTGTGGGAGGAGGTCACAGCTCCCTGCTGCTCCACACTGTCACATCTTCCCGCTGCCCTCTGAGCAGACCTGTTGGGGTAAACGGAGAGAGCTCTTGTGTTTCATTTTTTTGCTCAGTTAAAGCAGTGAAACTTCACCGTGTTGTGCTGGCGATCCTGTTTCTTGGGGAGCAAACTGAGATCAAACCCTTCTCTTGCCGTATCCCAGACTTTGTTCAGTGATAGTAAGAGCTCAGGGCATGAAGAAGATTTCTCCCACCCTTTAATCTTTGCAGAGCTGGGCTGTAAACTCTTAAAGCAGATTAACTCAAATTTAGAGACTTTGGCAACTCATGAGTTTTGAAACTATTTTAAATAAGCGATGCACAGGATGTTTGGAGAGCCTGCTCTGCTCTCTGTAGGCTCAGTGACTTCCAAAAGTCTGCATGAGATGGCAGCAGCTGGTCACCAGTAAAATACAGATTTGCTGTAGCGCTGTGTAAGTCTGTGTCCTTCCTCAGATCCCATGAGGGGTTTTCTATTCTTCTTCCTAAGGCCCCCATTCCCATCGCTCCTTGTGAGTCCTGATGCTCAGTGCGAAAGCACGAGGAGAACCAGCCTGCAGAAGGCCCGTGGGACTCACTGTGCCTGGCAGCTGCCGCCTCTGCTGCTGCGAAGAACAGTAGCAGGGTTGTCACGCTTGCTCTGAGGGCGGAACGGGGACTTGTGGTTTTCTTGCCATTAGCCCTTGCTGTAAATACTCCCATTGACTTGGGATTTTGGTTTCTTCTGCAAGTCGCTTGCTCTCTTCAAAGCTGGATTGATGTTTGCTTAAAAATGCAAACTGGCTTCCAGAAGAATAAAAGGTCCCCACCACTTCTCCAAAGAGATGTTATTCTGCACACAGAGAAACACCCACAGCCTCATTGCTTTCCCCGCTAGGCACTGAAGCCATGGAGAATCCCACCTTGCCCACTGAAGGACTGGTTATTGTAAAGTGCATTTGGGAGTTGAGGTGGGAACTTTGCATCCACTAGAATTAATTGAATCCCCCAAACAGAGAGAAGCTTCTGAGTGAACATGATTGCCCATTAGAGCCGTGGCTTCCAGTGAAGGGTGCAGTTACGCTTCTATGATAACTTGTCTGTGTGACAGGCATGGCTTTAACCTCACTTTCATTTACAAATAGGAAACAGAAATAGAAATACATAAAGGGTCCTTGTCACTTAGCCACTAAAATGCTTGTTGTGGGTTGTAATTCAGCCCCATTACAAGCCCATACTGCAGTGCTGAGCTGCGAGTCTCCTGTGTGGGTCTGCAGTAATGCATAGACCACCAGCAGGCTTCTTGCACAATAATGGACGTTATTTTAGTGACTTTATCATACGCACATTCATGCCAAGAAGTGAGCATGAGGTGGATCAAAGAGTAAATTCCACTTTCCCCAAAGGAAAGCGGTTGAGGCACTTCTTGCGTGCTGCCTCTGGCACTGGTGTAAACACATCAAGGATGCTGATTTTTTTCAAGAAATGAAAAGTGCCCTATGAAGTACCTCATAATTCTGGGAGTCCAACTTAACATCTCTTCAGATAACTGTGGTAGGCAGCGTGAGCTGCTGGAGAAGACTTTTACTCATCACATGCCAGTGTGTGGGATTTTCCCTATGAAAGGGGAATGTCAGCTTGTCAGCTCATCCCTTGGCATGTGGTTATACTGGTTACACTCAATTTCTGCTATGTTTGCTCTTGAATATGGAAGACTCAGTGGAACAGAAGCTGTGCACATATTTGCTATTATTCCCTGCTGGTTCTGCCCCCAAACCAGAAGTCCCTGTAAAACACCAGTGACCTTCAGTCTGTCCAGTTCAGGTGTTCTGCATGATGCCTTTCTGACCCGCTTGGTGTTTAACTCTGTTGGAGATGCTTGTTGCCAAACAGTGCAGGATAAAGTAGAGCTCCACATCCAGGTACCCTGGTAAAACTGAGCAGGTATGAGGCCTCGTCTTTCCAAAGTTTAAAAAAAACAATCTGTCTGCATTTCTTCCTCACCAGTGCTGCATAGACAACTATGAAGAGATAGTCAAGCTTCTCCTCAACCATGGGGCCAATGTCAATGCAAAAGACAACGAGCTGTGGACTCCGTTGCATGCAGCAGCTACATGTGGTCATATCAACCTGGTGAAGATCCTCATCCAGCAGTAGGTGGCTTTTTGTGCCTCTTTCTGCAGATTTGATTCTCCCCACAACTTCTGTGGATGGAAACTGAGACTGCTTAGTACCTCGCAATATTGCAGCAGTGGCGATTATTCCCTGCTTTCAGGCTCTTCATGGGACTCCTTCCTGCTTGGGGGAGAAGGGGGTGGAGGAGGAAGAGCAGAAAGGCTGGGGAGACACAGTAAAACCCTAGGTGACTCGAGTCGGTTTCATGAAGCTTCTGGACACTGGGGCGAAATTTGCCACTATTCTGGTGTGTACGTGTCTGTGCTTGTTGAACCATGCTGGCTGGATGGGTAGAAGTAGGAGGAGCCAGCAGGATCCACCCTCAAGCTCTTAAACACGATTTCAGGTCTTCCAGCCACAGTCGAAGAGACACTGATGTAGGAGGGCAGCAGCATGTTTGTATAGCTCAAATACTTGGGTGAACTTTGTGACCCATCTTCCTGGCTCTTAATTAGTAGCCAGTTAGCTTCTTGTAATGTGTTTGTTCCCCAGCGGTGTGACACAGAGTGCTTGCACTGGACCTCCCGCTTCACTTTACCAAGGCCCTAAAGCTCAAGTCTTTTCTAGGCTGGCCAGCAAGGAGGAGGAACCCAGATGGGTTTTGAGCTGTACCATGTGCAGCGTTTCATGAGCACCGGCTGTCAGTCTTGTCTGGAGCAGATAGCCCTGACTCTGGATGGAGCCCTCTCCTCCGTTTCCCAGAGTGACGGTGCAGAGAGCAGAGTGTGCTTTGGGAGCGTTAACATGCTGCCTTACACAGCAGTGCCCGCTGCTGCTTCGCTCTCGGGGAGGGAGACTTCTCCCTGTAATGCTGTCATCTGGGAGACTAACGTTGAAAATCTGGCCCTTCTTCCTTGGCTGTATAATGAAGGAAGTGGAGCAGAAGATGCAAACAATCATCCCTTGGAGGACGTTCCCACTTAGGTTAGGAAATTTTTGGATGGGGGGCATAAAAATGGAGCAAACAAATGTGGAACAATATAGTGCATTCCTGACTCTTAATTGAAGATAAGGGAGTGCCATGGGGACAGGTGGCAAGGTGAGGAACGGAGTTTATGGCCCTAGTTGTCAGACTGTTCTGTGTTGAGTGGTTTCCAGCAAATCTGGACTCTTAAGAGCCTAACGTTATGATCCCATGCTCAGAAACAGTCTTCCCCTGGACTATTGAGGAATGGGGTGATTGAATTTTGTTTGCTACAACCAAAGTTGTCCTTTACAGGAGGTGTCACATATCAAACGACTCAGTAATGCTGCCTTTGAAGGCAATGTTACTGGTGATGGGACCTGGAACCCTTGGAGACCATCACAGGAAGTAGCCCACAAAAGATGTCCAGTGTCTTGCTTTTTTTATTTGCTGATTAAACTAATGCTGGTACTTTGCAAATGTGAATTTCAATGTAGTTTGCTCTGCTCAAGCAGAGGAGAAAAAAAGAAAGAAACAAACAGGAATCTAAATGCAAGTGGACACTGTCTGCTGTCTTTCCAAGGCTGGTAACTGTCGAGGTAGACCAGAAGTCAGCTGAAACTATTTAATAGCTAGCTAAAATGGCACAGTTGAGAAGGTGCTGGAAATTTTCTACTATGTAGGAATATGGGGACAGTGATCAGTTTAGCTGGCAATTTTACTTCTAAACAGTGACCTCCTGGAGGTCACTAGAGCACTTAGAGAAGCGCTTTTGGACAACTGGAAAGAAAATTTCACCAGTTGACAGGATAGTTTTTTATTACTATTTTTTGCCAGTGTGCCCTTGCTAGATGGAAGGCTTCCTCCGCCATTCAGCCCCTCTCTCTCCCAACTTTTCTGATCCTTGTGAACTTTTCATTGAAGGACTGCCAGATGCCCAGATAACAAGCACCTGGTAGTTGTTTGGTGCTGTTATAGAGAAATTCAGCAAATAAATTGCTTCTATCATTGAGAAGCTGCCAGTCTGTCCAGTGTCAGGATCAGGAGAGGACAGGAGTGGCTCAGTTGCTCATGTGCCCCACAGCCCATGAAGGAGGTGTAACATGCTGCCTTTCATCCACTTCTGGAATTTATCTTCCCCATTCATAGCTCCATGGCTTTGCTTCAAATCTTTCTTATCTCACATAAATCTTGGTAACGTTTGGGCAACTTTAAACCCTGGTTATTTTTTGCTAAGCATTTATCCCAGAGTTTGGCACTGTCTTCTCTAGGATGTCTGAGGTCCTTTCATGTGTAACGCCACTCTCTCCTTGCAGTGGAGCAGATTTGTTGGCAGTGAATGCAGATGGCAACATGCCGTATGACCTCTGTGAAGATGAGCCAACTCTGGATGTCATTGAGACTTGCATGGCCTATCAAGGTAAGGAGACCGAGTTCATGTAAAATACAAAAATGGGTCAATGTAGTGCTAAAAATTACCTTGTTTCTCAGCTCTTGATTTGCCTCTAGAGAGAAGCAGAGAGCTGCTGCGTGGCATAATTTCTTGGAGCTTGACTCTGTCCAGTTTCTCTGATTCCTAAAAAATGATGAGGGTGAAGGACAGCTGTCGGTCCCCTCAGCTACATAGCCTCTGAAAAGGATGTGAGGCTGTATCAACCAGGAATTAAGTCTAATTTTACTCAACCAGTGGAGACAAAGACCCTTTCCAACTCCTCTCTCTAACTGGAATTTTAACAGGAATTACCCAGGAAAGGATCAATGAGATGCGGGCTGCTCCAGAGCAGGTCATGATCTGTGACATTCATGACATACTTGCCACTGGACAAGACCTGAACAGGACTGATGCCCAAGGTGCTACACTGGTGAGTGAAACTGCTGTGGCTTCACTTTTGACTGTAGGTTATGAAACCTGCCCTGTGGCAGGAGTTACACAAAATCAACATGTACAAGACGCTGAGAGGAGTAAGGAAGCTATTTTGATCTTTTTTCCTGTTTTAATTAATTTTCACATAGGAACAGGCTCTGTCCATAAATACAGCTGACATAACTTAGTGCCTAACCCTGTGCTTTTTGACGCAAATCCCTTGTTCATGAGAACCCTGTCAGCTGTCCAGAAGCTCAGGTTCTGCAGCAAGGCTGCTGAGCTCCTCCGTCCTGTCTGACAGTGGCTGGTACCAGCAGCTTCCAAAGAAAGGTGCAAGAAATCCCACAATGAAGAGCTGCAGAACATAGCACTTCCATTTCCCCAGAAGTCAGCAGGAGTGAACAACCTCCCAGTAACCTCTTGCTTCTCGCTAGTCTTGTAGTCTGATCTGACTCCCACGGAGGAGACTTGAAAGTCCTCTGGTTTTCATGGGAGCAGGATCTGGTGTTGGACACTCTGGAGACTTTCTGCCTCCTCTTCTTTCTGCTTTGCATAGCATCTGGCTCATACAGAGTGGACGGAGTGCTGAGTTTATTCACGTAGGATGGCATCTGCCCCTGGGCACAGGAGAGCACCCAGGACAAATGTACAGTACAAAGCAAGCTGGCATCTGATTTGACTGGACAGGGACAGAGAAGGCTGGACAATCCTGGTCCTATTCCCTTCTTTTTCACCTGCAAAATTTTCTCTGAACTCCTTGCTTACAGCAGTCCCAACTTACGCAAAGTTCAGTAACACTGTCGTACATGTTGGGACTTCCATACAATCTTGGTCATTTGATGTGAGGGCCCAGACATAACTGATATATAGGCCACTTGGTGTCATTGGGTTGATGGCCTGACCATGGCAGTGCATTCAGGTGTCTGAATCTAAATTGTCACCTACAGCATATACCAGAAGCGTAAGGGGAGGGCAGATTCCCTCCAAGATAAATTTGGATGACTGAAGCTTTTATTGCAGCTTATTTTTTTAACACGTTTTCCCCTTTAACAAGGATTATATACATAAATTTAAGCAGACCTCTTGGCTTCCCTTTTTGCATCACCCCCAAGTGATTCCTTGATAATTCATATGGCCTCTAGAGGGTATGACCCAGTGCCATAAGATTTATGTAGAAATTAATTGAATTGTCAGAAAGCATTAGAATTTATTTCCAGATGAGGGTTTAACTTTGTGTGGTGGAATCCACATGGAAATTTTTGAAAAGAAGCTTTCATTCTCCACTTCAGTACAGTTGAAATAGGATGAGCTCTGAGTGGAGTTCATACCTTCAGAGTAGTGCATAGGTCAATGTTTTGCTCAGAGGTGCAACAGCAGACCTCGATTATGGAAATCTTCAGAGACATGAAGTGTCGTGGGGGACTAAAGGAGACTATTATTTATATCTCCAAAGTTGGAAGCCAATATCTGAAAAATCATATTCCCTTAACTAAAAGTAGCCAGGGATTAAAATGTTTTTGATTTTCAAATGGTGAAAATAATTACAGCGTGAGTGGAAGTGCAGTTGCATGAAGGGAGTCCTGACTAAAGCAGGCTGAAAACTTGATCAAAAAAATCACATCCACAGCACTTAAGTGGGGAAGAGGAGACATTCTTCTGGCATGAGGAATGCAGAGTTTGCGGTGGATGATGTTCTCCACTGTAGCTTGTGTTTTGATGGTGCTGTTTCCCT